ACTGTACGCTCGCGAGGACAGGCCGACGCGTTCGACCGATTTCCACACCGTAGACGCGGCGGTGGCCGCCGAGAGCGGCATTTCCACGCGCGCGACGATCTTTACGTACCTTCATCTACCCCTTCCGCACAGACGAAACGCACGGGGAGTTGTTACCGAGTGAAAATTTCCGCGTAAACAAAACTACCTTGACAAACACGGATCCTCCATTTATCAACTGCACCGATCGTGCGCCGAACGGAGCTGCCCGATTGGCCGAAACTTCCCGAAGCAGCCGACGCGACGTCGCGCCAACTGCACAAGACACGCGCGAGAGCCGTGGAGAGCCGCCGCCGCCGCCGCCGTCGCCGCTACAAGCGCGCGCCGCTAGGGGAGATGTCTCATGTCTCGCTTCTGGGGCATCTGGGGGAAATTTGTGAGAGACGGAGAGAGCTCTGACTCTCTCTTTGGCACCATGTTCATGGCGAACTTTCTACTTTTCTTTGCTTATCTTCTTCACTTGGGCGTCCTCGAGAGTTCCGACATTTCCGATTAACTTATCAGCGATCAGCTTCAAATAACTGCACTATTTTATTGAGATAAATAGAATTATCGACTTTCTATTATTCGACATATAGAAGAGAAAATTAGACTTGAGACAATGAGATTATATACATATATATATAGAAATTTTGTGATTCGCCAATTGAACTGATCGACAATCAATTAATTAGAGTTCGATTAAAGTTGCCTTTAGAAGACGATTTCATCGTGAATAAAATGTTTTCAGAAACAAACGATCGTTCAAGCTTTCAATATATTTAGCGCTTTTCAGGAAAATACATAAGATGACGCAGTATAACACAATAAACAAATCGCGTGTGATTGTAAATTTGAAAGTAATCACGCATTAACATTGGATATTGAAAACAGTAATTTCTGCGTGTTTATATTACATCACAAAAAATATAAGTAATCAGAGTGATTGGCTTGTAAAAAAAGAGCTTACACACAAATATATATATATATATATACGCAACACAGAAGAAATATGTACCTGGTAGTCATGAACTCGCGTTCCTACCGAAAAGTAACATGGCGTACGATTTCGATCGATTCCGAGGGTTAAAAAACGTCAATCGCCAACGATTGAAATCGCGGTGACGTCGATCACCCATGGCGTATTATAACGATGTTCCAAGACATTACGATAAACGTTTCCGATACTTGGAGTACGAGAAATTTGCTATCAGACGATAGCAATCGCGAGAAACACGGAGAGGCTCAAAATTCGATCCATGTCGGTCGCGGCGCGTTCGTTACAAATTCAAAATCTATGGAAGGGCGTGAAGTTGTCGCAATACCTTAATATCGAACTTGGAATTTTTTTAAAGCGTTATTTACATAATCTTCTATTTAAGATTGTTTTAAATATATTTTAGGAATTCTAAGAGATTTTATTCTGCCAATAAAGACTTCGGAGTCGATTATTGTGTATTTTGAAACGAAAATTACAAAAGTGAACAAATTCATTGGGATCAGTATTCATAGTCGGTTCTTATATTTAATAATATGATATAAAGGATCGATTAAACTAAATCTAATTAAAATAAGAGAAATTCTATATTCGGTCAAAACAGATCTTAAATTGTATTTCTATTTCTGAATTTATACGAGTATTTTAGAGAATATCTGATTCTACAAACTACGCGCCGAAATCTTTTACTATCTTGAAACGCAGTCTTGATCTTATATTTTATTTAAGACTGTCTTAAGTACAGTCTTAATACGTTATAATAGCCAATCACAGAGTTGTATCAGCATATTAAAACATTGCTTAAAACAGTCTTAAAATAAGAACGCACTGTGAATATCGACCTCTCATCTTCTACATGAATTTCGATTCTCTCGGGATTTTCAAATTTTAATTTTTCTAACTTCAGTTTTTTGGTTTTTACAATTTTTATTTATCTTCATTACCTGTGGTGCCTAATTTGAATTTCCTTGCGATATTACGAGGTTTAGCTACAAGGCTCAACGGTTTTAGCTTATCATCCTTCATCCGTTTATCCTTCTCAACACTTGCAAGATTGTCTTTGTCGTCATGTTTATTGCTTTCTGTGATTTGAACTCTTTCCAATAGCTTTTGAAGACTCTCGAAACTCAGATTGTGTAGTTGACTTGATGGTTCTGGTGCAGGTTCTACCATAGGTATCGGGCAAAATGGAAAGAATTGAGATAGACCTGATACGTCGTCGACGAATGATAATAGCTGTGGTTCACACGCAAGCAACATACGCTGTTGTTGTATAGAATGCGCAAAAGGATGTGCAACATTCTGTTGACGTACACCTACCAGGTTTCCTTTAAAAATAGAATTGAGCATTTTTATCATTGAAAGACACTATCAAATAGACTTGCATAATACAAATGTACAAAAAAATCAACGAAGAATATTTCAATGGAAGGAACGTTACGATAAAAAAAATTCTTAATTAAGTCTCATATTCTTTAAACACCTGGTTTTCTCCATTATTTCCTGGTTTCCTGCATTATTAAGTAGTACAGTATAACACACAAACTATAAAGGTAAAAAACTATAACTTCTATGTGCGTTCACTTTTATACTTCATTATTTCAAGATGTTGGTCCGTCCATCAGTCTATTCGTCTGTTCGTTCGTCCAATTTGTTGATCTGCAAAATTCCGTGCTAAATATTCACAGAAAGTTCGATTCATATTACCAATATACCGAATGTTCCGGAACAATAAAAGAATCATTATAGAATGTGCAAATATCGATGCGATGTTCGGAATATTGTGTGAATACTCTTTGTACCTATATATATTTCACGAAAATCGCTAGCAAGCGAGCAGTACACATTTCCGCCGACAGAGGGCCGCGGCGAAGAACATTTACTCGTAAACAAGAATCACTTAGGAGAAAATATAAAAAAACGCAGCACTTCGTCTGTGAAGTGAACCTCAAAATTGGGCTCCAAGATGAAAATACATTAAATGTGTTTTCCAAAGTAAAATTTTGTTTAAAAACTCATTCACAGATGACCTGACCTGGAATTTTTGGAAAAATTAAAATTTTACGGAATATTTATGGAACATATACGGAACATTCTCGGAATATATAACTATGTACAAATTTTTAATTTTTAACCGACATTTGAATGTTTCTTTTACATACCGTAAATATTCGGAATATTTTGGAGTATTCTTGAGATGTTTTTTTTGGGGAATTTTAGGAACATTTTATGAATATTTCAAGAATAGCGCGATGTTCGTCGCGCGTGACACGCGATATCCAAAGAGCGTTCAGCTTTACCGATATTCTCATTCTAAAGCTATACGCTCATTGGTTATCGCATGTCGCACGCGACTAACATTGCGCTGGTTTACATAAGTCGGTCTCACCTTGCAAAACTTTTAGAAATGATGACTACTTTCGCCGCGCGGCAAAAGTTGGATTGAGTTCAACTTTTGTCGCGCGATGAAAATTATAGGTGTATCTATTACTTCCGAGCAAGAGAGACGTTGATTGGCTATCGCGCCAACTTCCGCTGTCAAAAGAGCCAATGGCTGCGTTCAGCAGACTCAACAGTTTTGCAACCGTTTTATGATTGTCTGCTGAGATAGGACCATTCTTCTAGATCTAAAAGTATGATCCAATTAGCGCGAAGGAAACTTCCAACAGTTGTAAAACAAACGTTCTGCTGAACGCAGCCAATGGCTGCGTTCAATCAGCAGACTCAACAGTTTTGCAACCGTTTTATGATTGTCTGCTGAGATAGGACCATTCTTCTAGATCTAAAAGTATGATCCAATTAGCGCGAAGGAAACTTACAACAGTTGCAAAACAAACGTTCTGCTGAACGCACCCAATGACTTTAGAATACACCCATTGGCTGCGTTCAGCAGAGAAAATTCAATCAGTTAGCGCTTAGTGATTTTTTAATATGATTGGTCTTGCCTTTAGTTCTTCATTGGATCTAAGTGTAAGAACCAATTATATTGAAGAATCACTAAGTGCTAAATGATTAGTTTTCTCTGCTGAACGCAGCCATTATACTGGTCGTAATCCGTTAATTTATGTCATATAGCGAATTCAGCGCACTACACTAGATCAGTGCATACTAAAAGCAACTTTACATGACATTAACAAAGTTGAATGTAAAAATATATAAATATTTTAACCGATTAACTGTCTACTAATAATATTGTTACGTTATTTAATAAAATATAAGTGTATCATTTCATTCTCAAAGTTGATTATATTGTATCACTGCATTGAGATATTTTATATAAAGCAGCTTTTAATATGTACTGATCCAGTGCGAGTGATCAAATTCATCAACAATCTATAACGCCGGACTCAGACTACGCATTGAAGATTGAGATCGAAGATTGAAGATTAAAATTTGACCAGTGAGGACAAAGGAATTTTAGCATCTATTGTTTTGATTGGTCAAATTTCAATCTTTCAATCTTCAATCTCAATATTCAATACGTAGTCTGATTCCGGCCTAAGAATTGACCAATCATAGTCGATTAGTCATATTGACTTTTTGACTACCAAGTCCATTTTGCGGTCCCTCTATAGCAGGAGGCGCTACTAACGCTGGTATACGTTTTATGAATGGAGTTTACAGACTCTGGGGTGCGTTCCAATACTCGACTCTATCAACTCCGAGTATCTTTTATCCTTGTTCTTCACCGAAGTTGAAGACAGTTGAACAAGGATAAAAGATACTCGGAGTTGATAGAGTCGAGTTTTGGAACGCATCCCTGCATTAACCCATGTTACAGGAAATTGCGTTCGCTTCGCGTTTGTAAATAGGTTATAACGAAAGACTAAAGAACGTAGTAGATTATAAGAGATATTACTAGCCATTGGCTAATATAGCACGTGCACGGTTCTTGTGAAGTATTATCTTTGTTCACTGCACATTTTTTTGATATTTTTCAATGACATGTCAGTCATTTACATTTAAAATCGATTAATATAAGATATAATCCAAGATTATATAATATAAGAAACACTCATAGGCATCATGTCAAACAATGTTGCTGAGAAGAACAATTCGTTCGAGGGTGAATAACTAACAATTGTTAAAAATCTCATTACAATTTATAATTGTCAAAAGTTATTATGATTTGTTACATTATTTATGAATTTGCAACGACAATGTGAATAATTTTTTTTATGTTACAGATTATTATAACATCGACAATTTCAATGATAGCGAATTGCAGGCTCGACTATATGCAGAAATCTATTACGAATCGAATATTGAGGGTGAATCAGGAACCACAGATAGCTCAAGGACAATCAAATTCGATAACATGGCCACTGAGACGAATGTTGAATCAAAAAGGATACAACACGAATCAGAAGAACAATCTTTGGAACAACCTTCGACATCTAAGATAACTGGAGGTAAATCTAAAATTAAAAATAAGTCCAAAGTGTCGATAAAACATCATGATTTGAATGCTCCAAAAAAGAGTTCCATTACAGAAATATCGATATACAATAACATACATATACGATATTCAACAGATTCTCAGAAGATACCCTCTATGCATCAGTCAGAATTTGCTCAAGTTGAGACTGTGTTGAGTAGAGAAACGAATTCTGCACATGGCAATAAAAATTCAGAAAATCCTTTAGTCGTACAAGGAAAAGAGAAGAAAGAAAATTCTGCCAAGAAACATAAATCTTCCAAACATGCAAAAACTACACGTAAAGAAAGCTCGGAGAACGATAATAATGATACAATATATTCAAAATATAACGTTGTTTCAAAATGCGTAAAACAAAAGGTACATTTGCTTTTAGCTGAACAAATGAATAAAGATGAAGACAGTTCTGACTCTGAAAAATCCATATTTGAAGTACCTGTTCCACCGAAACCAGAGCCACCACTTATAGACTTGCAAGATTCTGATGAAGAAAATGGTTCAAATTCTAGGATAGATGATGTTTTGATTTTGAGAAACTGGAACAATGTTTCATTAAAGACATATTCAAGAGGGCCTCCATTTAGAAATCGCGAATTAGAAATTCCACGAAGTAATCCTCAAGACACATCCTCCAAAAGTAAGAATACTACTAGATCATATAATAAGGATACTGTAAATTCTGGTAAAAGTATCCAAACATCAACAAGTGCACAAGATGTTGTGGAAGATATTGTGTTGAATTGCACAACAATTCAAAGAGGTGCTAAAAACTTAAGTGAAATTAAACAGTTATCCAAAGGCGCAGAGATAAAACAACAAAGTAAATCGACAGAAAATATGAGTCAAAACTTTAAAAAAACTTTATCGTCAAAAGGAAATAACAAAAATGTTAATCTTCAGCAAGAAACATCTGTGACATCAGGAAAAAAATTGCAACCAATGCAACGAAATATTGACAAAGGTAATAATGTATATTTTACGCATATAGAGCGAAACAAAAACTCAGCAACAGAGCCATGCAATCCAGTAATTGACCGAAAGAGACGATACAACAACGAGATTGATGATCAATCTAAACAGAAACGACAATGCACCAGTCAGCAAAATAATCAAAGTGTTATATCGCAATACAACAGTACTGGAGAGAAAAAAAACATATCGAATGAGTTTTTCGAGTCAATGTCGGAAGAAATGAAAAACTATTATAATTCGAGTCGCGGTCAAGAAAACTTCGATATGAGAGAGTTGCAGCAAGGCATGTCGAAGGATCCACGAATGTGGACAATCCTGGATGAAGATTTAATGCCATGTCCCCCCAGTAGACGTGTTAGATTCTGGAATGTCAAATGCACTAACTGCAACCAGGATGGCCATCGGCGATACGATTGTCCAACACCACATAGACCACCATCTTGTTACATGTGTGGCATAAAGGGCCATGTGGAGTTTCGATGCCCACAGAAGATGTGTCTAACATGTGGTAAGCCGCAGAACACATTTCGTAACACTTGTGAATATTGTCGCATTCTTTACTGTACTATGTGTGATTCGGTAGGACACGAGCAAAATCAATGTCCCGATCTTTGGCGACGGTATCATCAGACGACCGACATGAGTAGCAAGCCGCAGGATCCGGGCAATGTGATAAAGCCATCGAGATTGCTATATTGCTGTAATTGTACTAAGCGTGGCCACGAATCGTCTACATGCAGAGAATATCGATGGTCTGAGAATTTTCCTACTCCAGCTGCCGTCACAAATTATACAGATGGGCCCATATATCATCCATCAAGTCTTCATGCGTCAAGTTATCCTGGACCTGATTCTGAGCTTGATTTTTCGTTGTCTGAAACGACGGAAAACGAAACGTCGATTCCACAAAATACTATTGATACACAACAAACAATTACTACTGAAGATGTGGAATCTTCTGTAAATCAAGACACACATTTGTCAAATATTGATTTCTATATTTCACCAATTTCACAAGAAATTGAGCATATCTCGCCAACGAAAGATGACTTAAAATCTTCTTTTATTTGGCCCACAGTAAAAACAAATTTCAAATCAACTAAAGTGAATTATATAACATTTTCTAAGCTCGTATGTTCTTATGGTATTTTTCCCAATAAAGATGACAAGGATGCGCGGATGGTCTTGACTACTCTTAATACATTCTTGTCATGTGTAGATAACAATTTTACTATGATAAAGAATTTAATAGAGCATCGGACTGCTCCAAATTTTTTGGCAATATTGACGGCGAAAGCAAAGATAGAATTTGAAGTGAATATAGGCTTTATCTATCACAAAACTCTATCATTACAATTAATAGCAATGAAAGATTACATAGAGTCTTTGTATGATTTGTTGAAATATTGGCTCAATCTCCCAGAGGATGAAAAAGATTATGGGATAGACGTGAATTTACCTGTAATTTCTATAAAGATGTTTAACGTGCTGCAATCAAGAGAAGCACAATTGGAAAAAATGCGCTTCAAATGTTATATCGACCTTGTAGGAGGACAGGATGATCCGCGATTGATTTATGCATCTGTGACCTCCGAAAAAATCAAAGTGAAAGTTCACAAACGATATAAGAACAAGCGGTATAACGAAGCCAGATTAAGAGATAGTATAAGTGCGAAAGCGTATATTCGCTTACGTCGAAACTTATTTCGTTTGCAAACTAAACTTCTTATGATTACTAATACCGAGCCTGAACCGAATGTTTACGTACGTACATTTCAAGACATAATGAGAAGATTCAGATTAGGACATTATCAAACGAATGAAAAACTGGACACTGCAACTTATCTTAGATTTAATCTGCTTTATAATCAGCTGTTTGTACCTCACACATCCCAGAATGTACACGAGTTGTTACAACGTATGGAGTTGGAAGAAAAAAAGTTGAAGAATTCGCTGCAGCCAGAGTCAGAAATACGCCACGTACTAGAGAAGCAACAAGAGTCAGAAATACATCATATACCAGCAAACCAAGAAAACTCCGTATGTACCTCTACTGTATATACCTCATCCGCGACACCTTACACCTCGCCGAATATCAATTCCGAATATTCCTCCGTAATTAATAATCAACGAAATAACGAAATATTAAATAACGAACCAAGTGTGAACAATACTTCGCTTGAGACAAGCAAACTAACCAATTACAATGAGATAACAATAACAATAAAAAATTCTCTAGCGCAAGATTCTGAGATTATGCCATCAAATACTGCACCCATGTCGCCGGTTAAATCAAAAAAATCTGAACCAAACAAAGATTTCATTCAGTTATCAACAAGCGAAGTGAAGGTTGACTCCAATATATCAAAAAATAAACAGAATGTAAATGTAAATAATACACAATTATCGAAAAAGGAGAAGCTAAAAAGATTGAAAGAAGAAAAAAGATTAAGTGATCTTAAATTGAATGAAATGTTAAAAAACCAAAATATATATGATATCGCGTTAAATCTTATAAAAACGGCTCGTGGTTTTAAATTACCATATATGAAGAACGTAGCAGATGAAACGCAAAGAAAAGTTGACAAGCGGACAATTAAAGTTAAGCATCTGCGGTCGTTGAGTAAATTGATTCGTTTCGAAAAGAATCATCAAAAGACCGTTTCTAATTTTTGCAATTTTTTAAAGAAGAAATAGTTTGTAAAAATTAATTACGCGCTTGTTCAGTGATACGATGGTATCATCGTCTGACATGCATCCGTATAATATACGAAATTGTTCAGAAGATAATGGGCGCTTTCCAATTGTAAAATCACTATAGACACGCAGTGATAGTCATGTTTCAAGTGTGGTAATCATCCATACTATACATTCGTACTAGTAGCCCAAAAGCTACTAATCACAACTATAAATGAGCTTAGAGGACATTCGATGGCCAGCATTTGTGCTTTTTTAATTCAATACAGTTGAAAAAAGTTACATTTAATTTTAACTATCCGAAACTGTACACAGCATACAAATTCTGTATCCATTGAATCGTGCACAATGCTTTGTGCATTTCTGAGCACATTTATGTCAAGATATATTAAACAATTGGAAAGTACCCATTATGTATATTTAGTTGTATATGAAAAATGATATTTTGAATGACTCGAAATATGTATTTGAAAGAAAATAAAATATGTGTGTTACAATAAAACTTTAAATATATCTTGCAATTATCTTTATATTCCTTGCTTTGTTAACTACAATCTATGATGATTGTAATTAGAACAATACTTCAATATATTATATGGGCTCATATATTATAATTATACAATTATAAAACAGAATATTTTTTGTAATAAAATATTGTTTGTAATAAAATATTTTTTTGTAATTCTACATCTTTTTACAAGTTATTAAAGAATTCTGATAATTTTTTTATTTAATTATATTCATTATTATAATAATGAAAATTACCTTAAAATATTTATTTTGGAACATTTTATTTTTGTTACAAGTTGAATAATTAATATTAAATACAAAAAACTTATCGTATTTAAAAAATTATATGTATCAATATAATTAACTTCAGTATTGTTTTAATTCAGTTATTAAACATTTTTGCTATTGTATTTGCATTGTCATTTTGATAATATAAATAAAATTTGAAAATCAAACGGGTCAAATTATATATTTTACTTGATACTTCAGAACATACTTTTTTAATTACTATTATAACTCAATATTAAATAATAGACATAAATTAAAATATACTATACGAAAACTCATGTTATATTTACTAAGAAAAAAATTTATAGATCATTTAGATACAAATCAAAGAAAATTGTAGAAAGTTTCTAATCATTAATTCCACGGTTTGTACAGAATTCTTAAATATACAATATACGTAATTTAGTGTTGATGACACTCTAATAAGCACATTTACAATAAAGTTTGGTTTTGCTTTAATTATATCCAATATAACACATGAGAAATAAAAGTCTTTAGTCTAAATGTTATTTTTTCATTGGCGGTGGGCCAACCATTGGAGGTGGTGGTCCGTTCATCGGTGGTCTCATGTGTCCCATAGGGCCTATAGGACCCATCATAGGACCCATTGGCCCCATCGGTCCCATCATAGGCGGTCTCATGCCCATCATAGGAGGTGGCATTGGTCCATGTGGTCCCATCATCATCGGGCCTCCTGGACCCATCGGACCAGCTGGATGCATACCCGGCGGTGGCATCATTCCTGGGGGTCCCTGAGGTGGTACTCCAGATCTCGAGCCAAGGTTGGAGCCGAGGTTCGGTGGCGGTGGTATTGCCGCACCTTTGTTGGCCGCGAAAGGGTTGGAGGCGATCTTACCGGCCTTGAAAGCAGCCGTTGTCGCGTCGATCAAATGCTGGGCCTGTTCCTCCATCCATTTCTGATAGAAATACTTGACGTTATCCTTGTGCTTGCGACCCTGGCAATGGGTCTTCCGCACGCTCGGCGAGTCATGTGTCAAATAAGTGTCGCAATAGTCACAATAGTATTTCGGCATCGATGCGTCCCTCAGTATATTCCGCTGATTTGCTAAGTCAATACAATTTTCCGAATTTTTCTCGATTTATATCACAGCTACCGAGAAAGAAAAAGACAAGCGCAGGCAACAGAAAGTTTTAGGTTATACCTTTATATATTTGTCGGTATCCCGCTCATGGCGGCTCATTAGCACTTGTGGTGCAGTCTGTACTACACCGTTTACACTTCACTCGCGAATGGTTAAACGACAATCGAATACGATTGGTTGTTGCATTCGAATCCAACCAATTATATCTATTTCTACCACTAGAATTTAATTTTAATCTCGGTTTAATTTACTTTTTTTTCTAGTTCTAAGAATTTAACATAAACATGATCGAGAGTCTTAAAAAAGTAACTTTCGATGACTGATTCTTAGAAAAAAGTAAATCAAATAAAGATTAAAATTAATCTACATTGATAGAAATAAACATAAGTCATTCAGTGAATATAAGTAATATTGGAGATATTTTATTGAGAATCCACAACAAAAGCTGTAAAAGTCATCAAACTACAGCCAGCAGCATAAACAATGAATCACAGTTGTAAATGCCATATTTATGTAAAATTAAAATTTTTTTTTGTAAATAGACGTCAAATATGCGAAAAGAATGGGGTTTCATATAATTCCGCTTACAATTAGCGAATTATTTTTAATCCTGGTTGGGAAAAACCAAGATGGAAGATCACAGAAAAATTAAAAAATGGCCTTGAAACTTCACAAAAATTTTTAAAGATGACTTCGAGACTTTTAATTAAGATTCCATTTTCAAAATAAAAAACTAATTTCTCATTTTGAATTAATAAAATGCGATCGTTGCATAAAATAATTGAACAATCGTAATAAATAATTATGATAGAGCACTTAATGTACTTACGTATAGGTGATAAATGTTGAAAGGATGGTGATTGAAAGTTACTCGTAAATACAGGCATGTAATGCCTAAACGGTGGCATAGGCGAGGATGGAGGTGAAAGTAACATTCTATGGTTCCCATAGAACTGGAATTTTGTATCATTTATAGAATTATTCATGTATCCATCGTTCGTTTTGTTCTTTTTATTGGGCATGTTCGTCGATTTGGATAGATAATAGGATTATGAATAAAGCAAATAATTATCTTGTGGTAATTAACGCGACGCGATGATGGCACGGTGGATTTAATTACGATAGGAATCGCGAGATATTCGGATCCGTTGGTCGGGGTCCCTTATTTTCACACCGGCACGATGCGACGACGACAACACATACGATGATTTGTATAGCTAGGACACGACTGCCGATTTCTAAACAACAATATCGTTAACGAATTAATTTCGAATGATATACCTATGTGCGAGTCTTGTGCACGTACCCAGACAGCACAGTAGCGTTTTAAAAATGTATTTAAAACGTACATATTGGACGTTTTGGATATATTAAAAACGTCCAGATTAGATCCATGGATATTTTAAAAACGTTTCAAAAAGATCCAGTGTTACCATTTTGGATTTCTTAAAAACGTCCATTTTAGGACGCAATGGACTAAAACTGGACCAAATTAATACATTAAACAAATTTTAGATCACAATTCAGACAAAATGATTCTTAAGCCCAGTGTCCACGATGCTAGAAATCCGTCCGAGATCTCGGATGAAGAAAAAATTGACCAATCGCATTGATCATGTGACTAAATTGTTTAAATGTGATTGCTTAATTCTTTCTCTCTCCGAGATCTCGGACCAATTTCTAGCATCGTGGACACAAGGCTTTATAAGAATATATAGATAGCCAATGAGAGCTCTGCTTTACATCGTCGCGTAAGAAAAAGCAGAGCTTTCATTGGATATCGCCCATCGCATCTAGTGTAAACTAAGCGCATTAGAGACCCTCAAGTATCTCTTACGTTGTATCTCTTTTAGTATCTCTTAATCTCTCTTAGGGCCGATTGTTCCATCTTTTGGTAAAGTTTACCTGTTAGATAAGTAGCAAAATTACCCCATCACGCAGATTGCCAGATTTACTTATAACAGGTAAACTTTACCGAAAGAACAATCGGCTCTTAATATCCCTTCGCGTATATCTTACTTGAGGATCTCTACTAGCCATCCCCTCCACTATATTCTGGTATTCTAGGGACTCTATTCTCCCCACTGCACTGGTCTCTGACTGGGGTGCGTTCAAAATCATCGTCTGGATGCACCCAGATGTTATTGTTTTATCCTTGTTGTTCACGAATGATAAACAAGGATAACACGACACCTGGGTGCACTCAGATGATGATTCTGAACGCAGCCCTGGCTGACTGCACGTTGGAAGCAAAAGATTCCAAATTCTTATCACTGCAAGTAGCAAGCTATTGCTGCTCGACTTGCCGCTTGCTGCGTACTGTCTGAACTAAGCTTTAATTTGGTAAATTTTCGTTACCGGAGGTAACAAAAGTAAAACTCCTTGTGCGATTTAAAAAAAATTTTAACGTCAAGTCAGCGAAAGCAACGCGAGTAGCTTAGAAAATTTTTTACATGAAATGGACATTTTTTAAATGTCCAAATGTAAACATATTTTGTACGTTGAATAACGTACATTTTTAAAACATTCGTACTACGTCTATGGACGTTTGGACCAGATTAAAACCAAGTCTGGATGTCCAATGGATGTCGTGTGCTGTCTGGGTAAAAGCATATTTCGAAACAGCGAAATATTAAAAGTTTATTTAAACGTTTCAAGATTTATGCATCTGATTGTGAAATTCATTGTCACAATCAGGTGCGATTGGCAAAATCGATGATAGATTAGCATTATTTGCATGATTATTTTGATATCTCCGAATAACAATATGATCTAATCGATTTCGAATACACGATTGTCTCGCTCAAAAATTTCGTGGGTCTGTCAAAAGCTTTGTGGCTCGTTCAATAAAATAATGTTAAAGAAATAAGCGATTACGATCTTTACAATTTAGACTGTAGATGATTGTTTGGATTCTATAGTAAATTCTATCCAATAAGTAGAGAATGTCTGAAATTGATATTTAAAACAACTTTAAGATATTTTTAAGAATTCTTTAAGAAATATCTTTAAGATATTTCATAAAGGGCTCTGGAAGATATCTTATAAAGCTGTTTTATATGTTAATTTTAAATATTCTGCACACTCTGTAGATTACTCTTTATACTCCAGATTAGATCGCGAGTTTAAATATAATTGAGAGTTTTTAATTATGTCATCGTTAGACAATCGCAATATAATATATCTTAATATATTTTTAATTACGTGATTATGCAATTATTTCAATTCTTTTTGCAATGTTCAAATCAATAGATATTTGATTAAAGTTACTAAGTGAAACAGAAGCCACTATTTGCTGATGTTAGTTTTTTCATTGTAAAATGTAATTGTAACGAGAATTATATAAAGAGATTATATTAAAGAAAATTATGTTAAATTACAATTACTTTTATTTTCATAATTAAATTGATATCTATAATATAGAACTATGAAAAAAGACAACTTTTATTGATTTCGTGTATTATCGATATTTATTTTCAAAAATTTGAAGGAACATTATTTATCACTACAAGCAAGTTAAGCTGTACGGCTCGAAAACTAAATTCGGAATATTAAAGCTTAAAACATACGCATCGTATCAATCGTAGCGTCATTGTGCATCGGAGATTTACCTATCCATAATTTTGTAAATTTCAAGTCATCGTCATTTATCTCCTTGCATAAATCGTATTTCAATAGTCGTTACATTAAAAATGCAATATTATGTTTATTTATACTTAAATAATATAATTATAATATCGTTTTAAATTACAGCAAACATACTACGTGAAATAAACTTCTACGCACACATGTTATAAATATATATTGCAACGCAATACTCGTGACCGCAATATGTTGCGTGGAAATGGCGTGTTACAGCAATGCAAAATATATAAAAAAAATACATATAAAATAATCGCATTTGTTTGAATTAAGAACGAATATATAAATATATAAAAAAAATAAGTGGGAATTATTTGCGAGGAAAGCAAACTCTGATATGTCTAAGGGAAATGTTCATAGAACATTTCATCTGACGACGGCGTAATGTGGAGTCGGCTTGTTCACCGTTCCCCAGAAAAGGATGAACTTCGTGGGGTCGTGCCTGATGAAAAACATGAAAGGCCGGTTGGCAACCAGCTTCTTCTGATTACCATCTCGGCGTAGAACCACCGCAGTCGTCGCAGCGGCCTCCGTCCCCTTCTCCGTTATATCCATCTCTACTTTATGCAGCACCTCGTCAGCATACAGGCCCGGATTCACGAGATTCGCACTGTTTCGCAGAATATCTAGGCCGTAAGAGGGGAAATTTTGAGTCTGCATGAATCTCAAGAAGTTCTGGTCTATAGGTCGGCTCTGCCGTCTCCTTCTGCTTTTCTTCTCGGAAGGAATGGCGTTTTGGAAGCGATGTCTGTTCTCCTTCAAGCTCACGTATTTTGTATTCACATCGCCAATCTTTAACGCGACTTTCTTAAGATCTTCGTTCTCCACGACGTACGTCGCATGAGATGACTTCGTGTTATTACGTCGTCTTTCGTTCTGAGCGTCGCGACGTGTTCTACTAATCTTGTGGATATTGAAGCCCGTGTCCCACTGTTCTACACTGACACCGCGTTTCTTATCGTCGTACGCGAAAAAATTCCTTTTTACGCCCTGATGACTGTTATTATTCCCAAATCGTGAGAAAATTAAAAACTGATCGGTCTTGGTGTTCAATGATTGCCCGGAAGGAATTTGCCGTGGCATTTGCGATGACGCTTGTGGAATCGATGTAGCAAATGGTTGTAGAATTGGCGCAGCTTGTCCTTGGGGAATTGACGTAGCTAATGGTTGTCGATTCGACGCAACGTATGATTGTGGAACTGGTACAGCTTGTCCTTGCGGAATCGATGTAGCAAATGGTTGTGGAATCGGCATAGCTTCTACTTGCGGAATCGCTGCAGCCTGTGCTTGCTGAATCGGTATAGTTGGTGCTTGTGGCGCTAATTGACCGTATCCG